CCCCCCCAGACTAAGGTGACCAGAAATCCAGCTTTTGGTGGGGCAGTCCCAATTTTTAACAATTTGTCCTGTGTCCTGAGGCATTTTTAAAAAGCCCCGATTTTTGGAAAGAATGCACGACAAGCTAGTGAACATGAGAGAACAGGAAGGGAATATACGGTTTTTGGTTGCCATGTGGCTATTCTGCCAGGATATGCATTTTATATTATTTTTGTTAATTTTACAATGTTAAACTTTAATAATAACAAATAATTGTTGAGAACTGACTATCGAGAACAGCTTATCAAAGTTTGCATTGTTGTCAGGCCCCACCCTCCATGGTGTCCTGCTTTACCAATGTTAAAATCTGGTCACCTTACCAAAGAACCACCTGAAGGAGCTTAGGGAGTTCACTATTCAGCCCCATATTGTCTTTGAGTATCTGCCAGGAGTTAGGAATGCCAAATAAGTAAAAGGCAACCCGGGGGAGACTCCAGCCCAGAGACACTTTTTTGTGGCTTGCGAGATTTGCTGGGTCCCTTGTGAATGATGAACGTCTGCTGCTGCCGGGACAGGCTTAGAGATTCAGAGTGCCAGTGAGTACCACCTCTCACTTTTGCTGTTGCTATTATGTAAACACACTATAAAAGTATCACACAAAGCTTTAGTCACAGCTTCTAGTCCAAGCAGACCCATCATATTTCACAGCATATTCCTTATGTCCAAAGAAAATTAAAAGGCACCATTTATTTTCAAGTATTGAAAGCTATGACAGAATAATATTGTTACTCTAAATTTTAAAAAGGCTAGAAATATGTCATTCATTCTTTTGTACTTGTTTTCTGCAATTAAACATTTGGAGGCAGAATAACAATGAGTCTTGCTGTAAGTACACACAACATAAAATGCCAGTTGTCTTGTTTCAGGGTGATCTTTCTTGGCACCAAAAACAATTTTATTGGAACTCACTTATAAGATGATTTTGAAACTCTACATCCTGACTAAGCGTTCTCAATGATAACTTGAAAATGATTAAAGCAGTTTTATGGGCTTTCCCTGGTCTAACAAAAGCAAAACAACTCATTGAAGATTTGCAAAGGTTTCACAAAGTTATTTCTAAAAGCAGATACAATTCTCAATTTCATATGTAAAAAAAGCTGTTAGAAGCAAATCCTCATTCAAGGAAGTCATGCGGCAGTAAGTATAGGATGAAGACACACAACCACTAAGGTACTAAATGCAGTGAGATGTGACAAGGGCAGGAAGGTGAGGGGAGCAGAGAGCTGGCTTACACACTCACACAGAGCTCAGGGCTGCAGAGATGGGGACACATCACAGGATTTCAGGCCCTAACACCGTAACCCTTATTAGAGAGTGGCTTAAATGTCTCATATCCTTTGCTGTTTATCACCCAGAAAAATTAAATAGGATATTCTAACCAGTCTTTCTAGGTAAGAGCCATAAAATGCCACAGGAGGCAGGAAATAGCACGAGGTAAGGTGGCAGAAGGTTCATGGAGTTGAGGGATGGGAACTCATTAGGATGCAAAGGAAGAATCTGGACAGGTTGAGAGCAAAAGGAATACCCTGGGACTGTGGAAAGCCCAAGGCCAAGACGGGAATTTGGGTAGGAGGGCAGTTGGAAGGAAACTGAGACAGAGTATTTTTTGAATTAAGCCACTAATTTGTGCCCAACAGTGACAATACACTCTGATTCTACATCTGAATCTGAAATATTATAGTTATGAAGTTTCTTTTGCCCATCTGAGTAAACAGTGTAACAGTCTCACCACTTTAATCCTTTAGTGATGAGAAGTGAGGCTGGTTTAGAAAGGAGAGTGATGGTGTGGAGGCTATGCTCAAAAAAGGGGAATCCCAGAGTCAATGCCAGATACCCACATCCCTGGGTGCTGGCCTCTTTGAGGAAGGAATATATATCAGTCTAAGGTGAGATCAAGGAACACACTCTCAATCCCAACCTGTGGTCTGCTGGTGCTGACCAGATGAGGGGCACTGGTCTGGACCCTCAGGATTCCAAGGCTCCTTCCCAAAGAGAGAGTGCTAATTCTTGCATACTACTTTTTAGGAACTGTGGAAACATCTTCCTAAAGATGAGGCACAGATAAGTACCAGAACAAATTTCTCTTTGCACAATGACAAAGATGCTTTTAGAAAACACACATTTAATTCAGGCTAGGAGCCAGAGCACTCGTGTCATGCATACTGAAGCCTACCAGAAAGAAAAGAAGAAACAAAATAAAAACTCTAGGTGTATTTAGGATAAATGGCATGAATTATTAAAAGTTATCAAAGAACTGTCCTAAAGAAACAAATACAACTTCCTTTCTTACCTAAAATAGTTATTATTCCTTTCTCCCTCCCTGCCAGTTAAAATACAATCAATAAAACAACAGACCCAGCAACACCCTGAAAATGAAGTCCATTCTGGGCTAGAAAAACCTCTATCCTCACTGTAACTGCCTAATATAGAGCTTTCTTTTTCTTTTCTTTTTTTGAGACAGTGTCTCAACTCTGTCACCTGAGTGCAGTGGCATTATCATAGTTCACTACAACCACAAACTCCTGGGCTCAAGTGATTGTCCTGCCTCAGCCTCCCAAGTCCAGCTATTTTTCCCAATTTTTTGTAGAGGCGGGGTCTCAGTCTAGCTCAGGCTGGTCTCAAACTCCTGACCTGGATAGGTTCTGTCATCCTGCCTCAGCCTCCCGGAGTGCTAGGATTACAGACATGAGCCACTGTGCTTAGCCCAATGTGGAGCTTCCTACTTTATAGAATAACTATGATGTAAAGAATAACCTGTGCCTTCCTTCATGAATCACTACTTTGTGAGTAGAGCAAAGGAACACAAATTAACTTCAGTGTCAAAAACTTTGTACTTAAAAACATCTCACGTCAAGTATACAACACTGTCTTAAACCAGGCAAGACTACTATCTTAAAAGCTCCCACTTAAACATTTATAAAACTCTACAATTTACAAAGAGCTCTCACATACATTATTTCAACTAATCCCCACAGTAGCACTGTGAGGTAAAGCAGATTATCTTTACTTTTCCAAATGAGCAAAGGGATGCATTGAGATTAAGGCATTTGCCCAAGTTCTCCCAGCCAATAACTGACAGAAGTAAAACTGGAACCCAGGTTTGTTGGACTCCAAATTCAATGCCATTTCTGTTTTACAAAAATGTCTCTTAGGAAAAAAGATAGCATACTCATGTCCTGTTGTATCCAATGGACAAATGAAACGTTCACTTTTACTATGCTCAATACTATAATAAGTTTTCTTAGTGGAATGAATTAACTTTTATTAAAATGTCTTATTTGAACTCATACAGCTATATAAGAAAGAGTCTCCACAAAACATCCAGAAATTGTGCATGTTCCAACCCAGGAACACAATACTCCAGAAGTCAAACTGTCTGCTACCATGGCCTAGGGCCAGGGCTAAAGGGTGAATTAAGAGACGACGGAAGCAGATATTAGGTCTAATGCTACACAGGACCCTTATGACAAAGAGTAATCTTCAGCTCGAGACCAAAGTGCAATTTAGTTCCCAGCAATTTGGCTTGGACTCTAGACTATGGCAGTCTTGGCCTCTGACTGTGCTTCCTATATGTTAGAAACGTCTTCAAATTTCACAGCTCAGGCTTTTGTTAATGTGTTAATACTTACTTACCTTTGTTTACATGCACCACAAAAAGCTGGCTCTCTGTTACTACAATTTACTTCTGTTCAACCTTTGAAAACAGTTAGAACTGCCCAGAAGTTCATCAATTCTTCTTGATTTAGAATTAGAGCAGGTGATAGACCAAAGAGATTTCCTTTATAAGGCTTTTTAGGCTCAATTGAGTTTTCTAAGTGAAGTTGAGCGCCTCTGTTTTTCTCTCTAATGGCAAGTGTAAGCTTTTGCTAGTCAACCCTGAACACACAATTTTCTTGCAGTCCCCCATATGGAAACCATAGGGCAGAAATGGCCCACAAATGAAACATAAAAGACAGATTAAGAAATTATACTTACTTAGGAGGAATTCGTGCAACTGCGTTCACATTTGTGGCTGGAACTACTGCTTGAAGGATGTGTTCGAGGGCTGTTAATCCACCAGCAGTTTGAAATGCAATCTGATCTGCTACATTCTAGAAAGAAATACAAACAGAAGTTAGCCCAGTTTCCCAGACATAAAATTATAACCAAATAAAATATTTAGTTGTAGTCTGATACATTCTGTCGGTTCAATTATTCGATAAATATTTGTTCAATGCTTACTTGGAGCTAGGTAATAAAGATCAACAGGGTGAACATGACAGGCATAGCTGCTGTCCACCACGAAGCTTAAAGTTTAGTGGGTGGGGCCAATAGTAATCAGATAATTAGAAATAAGATGATCTTAATTATGATAAGTACATTGAAGATAAAGAAAACCTCTATGAGCATAATGGGGGAAACAACTATATACTGGGAAAAGGGCCAGTATATTCTTCTCTGAGAGAGCTGAAGTTTTATGTAAAATGGGCAAAAGAAAGGGGGAAGGGATAAAACACTGCAGGTGGAGGTAAAAAACATAAAAAAAATAGAAATTTTTAGCAATACTTATAAAACCACATCATTTTATAATCGTAATTACCACCTAACAAGATACATCAACTTTCACAAAGATATCTTCTACTAGAATGTTTTTCTTTAGCAATGTAAAAAATTTAATATATAACCATTTTAGCTGTGTCTTTTTTTAACACTTCAGTTATTTTTTGGAGAATATTAAGTATTCACTTTAGAACTAAACCTATGGTTATTTCTGTTCATTGTCTGAATTGCATACAATTCTTGTAGGAAGGACCTTCTCCAAGTTCTGCATGAGGAGGGAAGAGTGATTCTATGCTACACTGTGTTTGTTTTCAAGGCAAAATCACTGTATTATATAAAAAATGACAAAAACCTATTTTGGCCTGAATTATAACCTTCCAAAATTCCTATGTGGAAGTACCAACCCCTAGTACCTCAGACTATAACTGTATGTGGAGATAATTTTTTTTTTTTTCAGACAGAACATCAAGCTGTCACCCTGGATAGAGTACCGTGGCATCACAGCTCACAGCAACCTCCAACTCCTGGGCTCAAGTGATTTTCCTGCCTCCGCCTCCCAAGTAACTGGGACTATAGGCGCCCGACACAATGCCTTTTTTTTTTTTTTTTTTTTTTGGTTGCAGCCATCATTGTTGTTTTGGTGGGCCCAGACTGGATTTGAACCCGCCAGCTCAGGCGTATGTGGCTGGTGCCTTAGCTGTTTGAGCCACAGGTGCCGAGCCGAGATAAATTTTTTAAGAGGTGATTCAGTTACAGAGAAGTGAGGCTGGTAGGGGAGGGTCTGCTATTCTTATAGGAAGAGAAAGAGACACTAGGGGCATGGCAGCACAGTACAAAAGCCACGTGAGAACACAGGGAGAGGAGTCCATCCATGAGCCAGGGAGAGGGGCCTCAGGAGAAACCAAACCTGCTGAAACGTTGGCCTTGGACGGACGTCCAGCCTCTAAAAGTGTAGGAAAATACGATTCTTTTGTTTAAGTAACCCACTTTTGTATTTTGTTATGGCAGCCTCAAGCAAACTAATGCACACCCTCCATTACAACACTACCTTACATTTCTTCCAGCAGTCTACAGTTCACCACGCTCAAAACTTCTTTTAAAAATAGAGGTATTTTTTTCTTCTGGGGTTGGGAGCGGGTTAAGATATAAGTATACATAGACTCTCTCTAATTTATTTGTCTGATTCTTCTAATGTTTTGAGCAATTATCAATTATTGGTGTCTGCAGTTTGGCAGTGTAAGCACGTCAATTCTTTCCTCTTTTGTACACAATAAAGTATACTCTGTGACTATAATAAGTTCACTGTGAAAGCTAGACAAGAAGTCATTCTTAATAATTTTAGAATGGAAAATGTTTCTTTGCAATAAAACTAATCAGAAAATTGCACAATCTAAGAGGTCAGTAATTTATTTAAAAATGTCACGTTGTGGCTCGGCGCCTATAGCTCAACTGGCTAAGGCGCCAGCCACGTACACCTAAGGTGGCGGGTTCGAATCCCCAGCCCGGACCCGCCAAACAACAATGACGGCTGCAACCAAAAAATAGCCGGGCGTTGTGGCGGGCGCCTGTGGTCCCAGCTACTTGGGAGGCGGAGGCAGGAGACTCGCTTGAGCCCAGGAGTTGGAGGTTGCTGTGAGCTGTAATGCCACGGCACTCTACCCAGGGGGACAGCTTGAGGCTCTGTCTCAAAAAAAAAAAAAAAAAAAAAAATGTCACATTGTTACCATTCCTTCTTATGCTAAGGTGTCGATATAACTAGAAAATAATAACCTCTGATACACTAAGCACAACTGTATAGCTAGTTGAGTTCTAGCAAGTTGAACACACTCTGTAACAACTCCAAAATTTAAAAATATAGCTTTGTAGCATGCCACAGTATCTCTGGTACCCATGCTACTCACTAGGGAGCACTTTCCAAAAGGTAAAGGCTATCTTGACATTTAAAATCATAAATTCATTTTGCCTTCTTTTCAAACCTATAGAAATAGAATCATGTTGTATATATCCTATTGTATCCAGCTTTTCCTGCTCAATTGTTTATTTCTAACTCATCCATGCTGCTGCCTCTGTTTCACTTTCCTTGCTGTGTATTATTCCTTTGCCTGACTCTCCACAACCTTAAATAATTCCCTGCCGACTGACATTTAGGTTATTTCTACTTTGAAACTTTGGAGAATACTATGCTGGGTCACACAGTGTACACAGGCTCAGTTTTAGTAGCTACAGCCAAACAGCAATCTAAAATATTTGGAAACATTTGCATACACACCACAGTACAGTGCTAATTTCAGTTATTTCACATTCTCACCAAAACTTGGTTTTCACTTCATTTGCCATTTCCTAATGACCATGGAAATTAAACATGTGTACCAGCTATTTCTGGTTAAAAAAATTTTTTTTAAATTGAGGTCTACTTTAAAGTTGGGTAAAAGACTCAGATGGTAAATATACTGTTCAATCAAATTTGACAAATGCTTGTCCAGGGTCAACCATTCTCATCGCCCCAGAACATTTCCTCATGACCCCTTTGCAGTCAATCCCTCCTCCCTGAAGATCACTCATTTGATTTACAATACCATAACTTAGCTTTGTGTAATGTAGAATTTCATATAAGGGGGTCCTCAAACTTTTTAAACAGGGGGCCAGTTCACTGTCCCTCAGACTGTTGGAAGGCCAGACTGCAGACCCCGGGATGAGTCGGCTGCTAAGCAGGACAGGCAGCGGCGGCAAAATACCCGGTGGGCCAGACAAATGTCCTAGGTGGGCCGTATGTGGCCCACGGGCCATAGTTTGAGGACGTCTGTATGTACAAATGTTTTCTATATTTAATTTGGTAGAGACTGGTTATCACACCCATACTTTTGTATGAGAGGCCTAGGAAACCATGGAAACATCTGAAGTGTAGAGAAAATAGCAGAGGGAGTCTGGGTCGTGATGGGAAAATAAACATATATATATATATACAGCCCTCCTTTCTTCTTAGACACAAAGTAAATAGGAATTATAGATGAAATATTGAAAAATATTAAAAACGCATAACCACATTAAAAAATAAATGAAAAATCTTGGTAAAACAGGCATGGAGAAGTTTGTAGCAATGTATAAGGTAAGGCACTTTTAGTAGAGTCTTAAAAGATCTGCTCATCTAAACACTTTCTCTAAGTTTTCACACTGATTTGGTCTCTAGGTTCTGACAAAATTACTTGTGTCACAGCTCTTGCCGTCTATACCCACGCCTCTTGCTGTGCCCACATCAGCTCAAGTGTCCACATCAAGTGCACTTGACATCAGGTCAAGTGCCCACACTCTCTGGATTAAGGTACTGCAGCAACCTCCTAACTAGCATTTCTGGGTTCAGGCTTACCCTAGCCAATATATTCTCTAGAGCACTGCTCCCCAAACTCTCTATGTAAAAACCAGTTTTTTGTTTTTAAAATGTTTTATTATAGATTGATACTTTTGTGAAATACCATAAAATAAAGTATTGAACAAACGGAAAATAAAAGATGAGCTAAGTAGGAGCCCACATTTTAAAATACAGCAGAACTTCCATGGTTTTAACTATCAAAATGCAAATAGTTCCTACACTGACCACTTCCTTAAGTGTACCTAATTTTCATAGACTGGACACATACCACATGCATCAGTACAGTAGGCCCAGTGCCTTATCTTACCACCTCTATATGTTAATCAGTTTGCTACAGTCCCTACAGTGGTCAGTTTACTGTATTAGATGCAACAGACATAAAATTACTCCATTGATTTGGTAAAACTTACTCTTGATTTGTGTATTTATCTCATTGTATTCTGGTAAAAGTGGCCTAGCACTGGCCCATGGACACCATTTGAGTAGTTCTGCCCTGGATGTTTATATATGCAATGAGCAAATATTCTAAAGAGTAAATGTAATCATGCCAATCTGTGTTTAAAATTCTCCAATCACTGTTTCCTAACTGTCTGCAGAATGAGGCCCAAATAACTTAGAACAATTCTTCAGAATCTGATCCCTCTCCAATAGCCTCCTAGCAGGGGCTTCTCTCAACCAAATCCCTATATAAACCATACCCCTCCATGCCTCTGTGCTTTTGCATATACTCTCTCTTCCCAGAAGAGATGATCCTCTAGATTTTCATCTTTGTATCCCCACCAAACTCTGAGCTTGCTGACATCAGAGACCATGTCTGACTCATCCACATGCCCAACACTTAGCATGGGGAATGTCCTCAGTAAGTGCCCAGTGGTTACTGAATGACTAACAAAGATACTTTACATGGTTAAACTGTGAAAATGCAAATAGTTAATAATTTCTCTGGTATGACCCCAGGCAGGAATCCTCCATTCTTGTTATGGTATTTGCCTCATAGAATGGTTCTTCGCTGGATTTGAGCTTCATGACAAAAGAATGAGAGTCAGTTTTTCAAGACTGAAGGACACGTTCACCTTGAACCTTCTTAACAACCATCAAGACAGCAACTAAACTCTCCCTCATGTTCCATTTTAGTGGAATATGGACAATACTGCTTGAAACATTTTTGCCCATGTATTTGGTACA